TCAATCAATCAATCAATCAATCAATCAATCAATCAATCAATCAATCAATCAATCAATCAATCAATCAATCAATCAATCAATCAATCAATCAATCATTGTAGTACTATCGCACACTACGCAGGCCATCCCGTTCAACACTTCGCGACTTCCCACCTCATCGTATGTCCCACACTCATAGCGTTCGCCTTCATGTGACCGCACCAAAGTCAATCAAGCGCCAATTTTGCTGATCAGGAACTTCGGTGCCTCATCAGCGGCCTCATCGCCATACGACAAGTGCGCAGCAGTGATGGTGAGAGTACCAGAGCAAACCAGGTCACCAATAGCGCAAAACACCTCCAGCCTGTCTGAGGGGTAGTTCGGAATACCGCCGCGGTTTTGCAAATTCTGAGTGTAGCCAAACAGAACGGTACCGACGACCCTGTTGCGGACAGCAGCAGTTACATCGGTGAGTGCCGCCGCCATGAGGGCGGAGCCCTGGCTGTAAGGACAGTCAGTATTGCAATGGCGTCAGTGGCGGACTGTAAACACATACGAGTAACCTCCGGTGATGACAGCGGAGTTGGGGCACTTGCTGTTGGCCAGGTTGAGAAGTCGGACGCCCTCCCTAATAGCAGCGGCAGAGGAGCCACGAGGCAAGAAGTTGTCGCCAAGTGTAGCGTCGTAGGGGCCACCAACACCTTGGACCCAGACGTTAGCAGCACCGTACCTGCTCTCAAGGGCGTTTCCAAGGGGCACGCCCAAGGTACCCTATTAGACTTGTCAGCATTTCTCTTGTAGTACCGTGCATGACAAACACTGGGACGAGACATGAACAGAATGAAACATACCAAGTTGCCGGTCTCGGTGCTTCCACGCGCGAAGATCAGGATGGCTTTGGGGCAGGCAGAGGAGCTGCCACTTTCAAGCTCAGTCCTGGATAAGCCAAGCTGACGAGCCTGGATTTCGATGGCCTCGGACTCTGGAAGGACGATTGGAGAGGCAACGGCCAGAGTGGCAAGAATGGTGAGAGCGAAAAACTTCATGTTGGCTTGTGTGTACGGAGAAGATTGGTGGTACGCGGTAGGTCAAGGTGTTGAGTGGAAAAAACTGGAGTGAGTGTGCGATAGCCGAGAGTGCTGTTGGAATGGGGATCCTCGGATGTCGAACTTAAGAGTGCGATCTCTACAGGACTTTATACTTGGCTCGCAACATCCTGAATGCTCAGCCCGTCCGGGCTTCGATATGGCTGACGCCAAGTTCTCATGGGCATTTGTGTGATAGCATCCAGCAAACAAATCGGCTACGCCCTATCGGGAACAGTCTGTATACCGCGAATCGAATCTGTAGCGAGCTTGCGGCCAATCATGGACAAGGAGAGGAGAACTCGAGTATACTCTTGCAGGGATGTTCTCGCTGCACGAGTCTACAGTCCTCGTACAACACTCTCCAACGACCCAGCACCATGGACTTGCCAAGATAGTCGAGCATGTCTCGCTTGATGAAGTTCCTCGGTATGTTGCAAGTTAACGTCTTATCGGCGAGCTGATGTGATTCAGTGCTGCAAGTCGACAGGATGGTGCACTCTGAGAGTCCTCATTCATCTCTTTCTCTGCATGGCCCTCGGTCAGTGTAGAGCTGTTTGTGCACTGATTGGCCTCGTGCTCTCGTTTTCAATTTCGAACCCTGATGCGACCATCGTACTGCAATACAGTCAGTATGATATAGCCTCGGTAGACCGACGTGATAAGCTTCGTTCAAACAGGAACACACTTTCAGCCAGTCTTCAGGAAGACCATATCCGATGGTGAGGTCGTGCAGTTGGCTCCGAGATCTGGTATATGCGCTACCGTTGCATGGTGTTGATGTGCTACTTCCGGAACATTGCCGCAGTTGGTCATTCGGACTGACTTGTAGACTCGTCGAAAGCGGTAGAGCCGCGTTGTCGTTTAAGCAGGATACGAATATCTGAGCTTTGCCCTGTTAGACATCCTCGGTAGCTTTTCCAATGGACTCGAGGTGATTGGCTTTATTCACTCTTCCTTCATCAATGGAGATCTAGATCGCTGTGTGTAGATGGTCTGGATTGAAAGGCATCGGCCTTGGTATGCAGACGCCAGCTTTGGTCCCCGAGCATGAAGGTGCTTTGGAAACGATGCTACTCGCATCGGACGTTGATCGCATTAGCAAGTCACGCACCCGCGTTCACCCCACAAAACTCAACAGCTGACATGCCGGTCCCGTGCAGCGACCTATCGGTACTTGGACGCAGGTGCGGGTGTCTGCAGGAAGCCTCGGTGAAAAATCGTGAAGACGTTTGAGCAGGGTCAGGGATAGTGTAAGCCTCCGTTAGCGCTACTTCCATGACGCACATCTCCCGTCTCGTCGTCCTCTTGAACACCACCGTTTCCTCCACGTACGCCTCTTACACCCATTATGATCCACAATACCATGCACTCTAGGAATCGAGAATACATAGATAACAATCTACGAAGAGATGTCACTTACGAAGGCCCGAGCGAACTCGTGCTGATGGCTCTCGCGCCTGGAAGGGTCAGTCCGGCTAGCGAGTCAGCTCATATATCCCTGCGCCAACCCCGCAACCTTTCGTAAACAGTATGCGACTTGCTGCAGCTTTTAATCTATCAAACTCCTCCAAATGGCTCAGAACATCAAGCTTTTAACGTAGCTTCCGGACCTCGTGTTGAGGATGCCTCGGCATTGTGTGGGCGTTCGTAGAGCAAACCCATCCTGTCCAATATTCGAAGACTTGCCCGGGAATGTCTCAGCATGTCTATCACCTCATTTAGACTCATGGAGTGATAAAATCCGTCGTTACCACTGTGAGTGCTCACATCCCAGAGTCTGATTGAGAGTCTTGGTTTTCTCCCCGCCTTCAAGTTTTCCTCTGTTTCTCCATCCCATAAGGAAGCCACACAGCGTTCGGCCTCCTCTTATTTATCAGTCCACGAGATGTGTTACCGGCTTAGCTTACTCTCCCCACTTCTCTCATTCTACATACATAAATAGCTCCCCTCCTTCAGAGCTATTCAATCAACTCAGTTCCTCATGTTTCTCACACGCTATACGCAACAAGATGCCTCGATCAAGAACAGAGCGGCTTTCACAGCGTTTCAAGTCCGGACACAAAGCGCGTTGTGGGTTCAAGGGATCAACATCTGTCGACAATACTTATCGTCCCAAATTCAAATACAGTCTGCATATCATCGCGCTATATAAAGCAGGCCGTAGCTATTGAGTCGGAAGCATTGTGTGAACCAGAGAAAGAAGTGGTTTTCACCCTTCCTACACAATGTAATGGATGCTCCAGGGCGCACAATCTGCGCTCCGTCGTTTCGTGAGTATGAGAACCTCAGAACATTTACGATGAGTTCATGAACGCAGGGCCATGCAACCCTTCTCAATATGGCATCAATCAATCGACCTGACTCTCTATGGGACTGACTCCCTCGTGAACTCCAGGAAGAGGTCCTGAAGTACCGTCTGATTCTACCTTGACAGCTTAACGTGCAGCTTTACGTGTTGCATGCACAACGTGCGTTACTACCCCTTTACTGACAAGCAAAGGAGTGTAGACCCAAGCATTGTATGTGTGGGGTCTCAACTACTTTCTGATTAGCAGCATCGAGGAGAACTTTCGATTCTGATTAAAACCAGATCTTGCACTGCCTAGGTTTTCTCGCCCTCAACCTCTCATTGCTGCAAAACTACGCAGGGTAGAAATTGAACTGGCTGTCGATTGGGACCCAACTGCATATCAGATCTATGATCTTGGTGGAACCCGTAACACAAACTCTTGGTGCTCGTTCCTCCATCCGCTAGAGATCTTTATCATCCCAATGACACAGCTTGGCAAGTATCACTGAACAAGCTGCAGAAAATCACCATCGTGTTTCGCATGAAGACGACCCAACGCTATCCTGATTGAACGGTGGCTTAGCTTGAGCACGACCTGCGCCAGTACACCACTGCGTTGAGCACTAAGCAGGTTGCTGTTGAAACTAGGGATGCGTAGTGTTCTGATAACACTTCTCTGTGTCTTCATCACTGTGCAGTTCAGGCGGCAGCTGGCATTGCTGAACATGAAACTTTCAGGCATATATACCTTTCATAGTGTCAAGATGGCAGCATATGGTATTGAGGTGTGGCTAGCTCCATTCAGCCAATGAGTGGTGCTTTTGTCATCATCGGTTGATTACAGATACCGTGTCCGTGCGCGTAATGCGCGGATTCGCGTAATGCGCCGAACCACCAAAATAGGTCCACCAAAAATGAGGCTGTAGAGCCACACACAATGGTTATTATCATGAGATTTTCTGGTGGAGTAGTCTATAGACCTATATGAACAAGTTCCTCACTCAAACTTTTGTGGCACTCTGATTGGGCGGCCGCGGCTGTTGTATTTTGCCAGAGGGGATGGGGAGCGAGGCGCGGCAGCAGC